GATGCAAAGAATGATCAAATGAACTGCCTCTGTTAATTTGTTAGTAGGTCACTGACCAGAAAATGAAGAGAGGGCCCCATTTAAAGACACTGATCCCTATATTGGGGTAGACCCTATGATTGGGGAGGTAGGTTCCTATTTGCAATAGATAGTTTGGAATTTCTGGTTTCAAGTTTTCAACCAGGGACAGGTCTTCTCCATTTTGTATAGATTGGACAGATAGTAATATCCAAAAGATAAAAAAGAGAGTATTTTGTTACTGAACAACTTAAGCTGTAATTCTTGTATAATTCATACACAGAGAGTTTGGATACTTTGCCTTTAATACCTTTTTTTTTACAATTTAACACTTATGTATAAACAATTGATCTGTACAATCAATCAAATCTTGGCAGGTAACTTCCCTAAATGTTATCCAACCAACCACTTCCTTACAACTTTTTCTTTTTGGTAATGGGAGAACACATATGATGAACTGACATTTTATAATATATATATATATATATATACACGGTATTAGAGGGGTAAGGAATCAAACTTAAGTTCTCAAGTGCATTGATAAATGCTCTTAAATATTCAAATCACAAGCAAAGCGACCGATAAATGCTCTTAAACGCTCAAACTACAAGTGAAGATGAACTGACTTAAGTAGAGAGAACAAAGAAATACAACATATGAGCAATGAAAAAAATAAAAAATAAAAGGAAAAACCATTGTATTGCAAACATTGTGAACATTTTTATAAACACCACTGTGCAACTGTAGTTCCAAACCCAAAAGGAATATTTTTATTGAGAAAAGAAATATGAGAGAGAAAGAAGCATTGGGGAAAGGAAGCCTAGAGAGAGAGAGATGAAAAGGGAAGGAGAAAGTGGGGAAGGGGGAGCAGAAAAGGAGGAAAATTTGAGAGAAAAGTTGAGGAGGAGGAGAGGGAAAAGCAGAAGTGGCCCAAGTACTCCAGTAGTGTCCTCATGGAGACTTTGCCCTTTTGGCCATAATACCATCATTAAAGACCCTCACCTTACCAGTAACACTACCACCTCCTCTGTCTCAGCTAGAAAACTAGCTGCTGCTCTTTGGGAGTTTCAAAACTACCACTATCTTCCCCTCTCAAAGATGCACAGAGCTCCTCACAATAATGGCGGTCCTGCTGCTCCACCTCCTAGGTTGAGACATCTTCAGCTCCACCACCACCTCAGCAAAGACAAGGGTCTTGATCTGTCTAACTTTTTGGCTGATAATTCTCCCAGTTCTCCTGACCAGGTACTGGTTCTGAATTTCTTGTCTCTTCCTTTCCAAAGTTTTTGGTATGTTTTCAATTGAGTTTTTTGGTGTGTTTGTGTAACTTTGTTCCTTTGTTTCTGATTGATGATGAAATTGGGTCTGTTTTATATACCAAAAGAAAAATTGGGTCTGTGTTTTTTTGTTTATTATTTGCTCTGTTTTTTTTTAAGAGTCCAGATCATGTGAAGGAATGATATTTATGTTTGATGGATACATCCTGTCCTTTTGCTGCTTGTGTTGATTTATTGCTGTTTCTGTGAGATTTATGGAGCCTTAGGGTTACGTGTGAGTGATGGTCAATGCTTATTATTATTTCTTCCTTTCTTTATTTCCAAAGAAATATATAATTTTTAGAATTTTTTATATGTTCTAAGTTTAGTGCTTTAGTTCAGTGTGCTATTCCATTAATAGATTCATACTGATAAAACGCTCCTTTCTGCCCACTCAGCACCAGATTAGAATTTGTTGATGCCAACTGTAGGATTTCTGGAACCTGAGTGTGCTCCCCTTTCCTTTTTTTACACTAAAACACAATGAACTAGACTTTATCCAAAGAAGTATGCACTTGTAGTTGCAGTACCTTCATGTTTGATCCATCCTCAGAAACAGTGGAATTTGAAGTTTCTCAGTTGGCAACTGATTTTTCTGTGATTACCTAATCCAGCCAGAAAGTGCAAGCAGTTTGGGGAGGCATATTGCTGCATCATTGATGCAACACCATCGAACCATCGAAAGAAACAAGTTGAACAATCACGTCTTGCAGCCTGTATCTCCTGCAAGCTATGGTAGTTCCATGGAGGTAAGCATCTGTTTATGCTTAGTCAAATGCTTTTTGGGCCTTTACTTTGAAGGATATATAAATTGAGATCGTAAGCAAAGTTGATTTTGATATAAGACAATTTGGTTTCTTCTGGCAATGCTACTACTACAAAATTTTCTTTTAGTAGAAATAAGGCAGTTTTCATTTGGGTTACTGCTCACTAGGATGTTATGATGTGACCCACACAAACTCATAATGCATGAACTGAGATTGTCTAATTTGTGTCCTTATACTATTTGGAAAACTATGGAACTAAGTTTTCTTGAAATTTCAAGAAGTTGCACCTAGATTTGTGCCGGTAGAGAGAAGCAATGTTATGAAAGCACAAGCTGTAATTATGTTCCATGAGCGTTGTGTTGCGTTCATTCAAGATTATGATGAGGGAACCACATAACACATAGTATTCCAATATTTCTTGTATGAATCAGGTGTCTGTAAAGTGTGTATGATGATTGAAGCTGTGCTTATCATCTGTGTTAGTATCATTCGCAAAGTTTTTTCATTAGTGCCTCATTTATAACAAATCTTTCTATGCTCTCAAACCTTCTGCATAGTTTCTCACCTCTCTTTTTCAGGTGGCTCCTTATGACCCTGCAGTCACTCCTAGCAGTTCTTTAGACTTTAAGGGAAGGATTGGTGGATCACATTATAATCTTAAACCATCTACGGAACTTCTGAAAGTCTTGAACCGAATTTGGAGCTTGGAGGAACAGCATACCTCCAATGTAGCATTAATAAAAGCGTTGAAAGCAGAGTTGGATCATGCCCGTGTCAAGATCAAAGAGTTGGTTCGGGTGCGGCAAGCTGATCGACATGAGCTAGATGATTTGATGAAGCAAATTGGAGAAGATAAACTAGTTAGGAAGAGCAAAGAACAGGATCGAATCCATGCTGCAGTTCAATCTGTGAGGGATGAGCTAGAGGATGAGAGGAAGTTAAGAAAACGATCAGAAAGCCTACACAGGAAGTTAGCGCGGGAGCTTTCTGAGCTGAAATCTTCTCTTTCCAATTCTGTGAAAGAGCTTGAAAGAGAGAGAAAATCAAGGAAGTTGTTGGAAGAACTATGTGATGAGTTTGCTAAGGGAATAAAAGAATATGAACAAGAGGTGCATTTTTTAAAACAGAAATCTGACAAAGATTGGACTGGAAGATCTGATCGTGATCGATTGATTCTCCATGTTTCTGAATCATGGATGGATGAACGGATGCAGATGCAGCTAGAAGAAGCCGAGTGTGGTTTTTCAGGAAAGAACTCAATAGTGGATAAATTAAGCCTTGAAATAGAGACCTTCCTTAGAGCTAAACATATGAGCACTCTTAAGAATACTGAAAACTTGTTGCCAAGGGATCGTAAGAACTCACTGGAATCTGCCCCTCTGAATGAGGCTGTGAGTGCGCCTCGAGACATGGGTGGAGAAGATGATTCTTTAGGCAGTGATTCAAATTGTTTTGAGCTCAATAAGCCAACCAACAGTGACTTCAAATTGCATGGGGATGAAGCTGTGGATAATCATATTGATGAAAAGTTGAAATTGGAACCCTCAAAGAAAAAACCTGAAAGGGTAAGAAGCCGTACTCCCTCCAGCTTGCAAGTTAAGTTTGAAGAACAGATGGCTTGGGCCATGTCGTGCAATGAAAATGATAAGTCCCGGATAGTAAATAAAGAGCAGGGGAAAACAGAAGAAGGGAAGCCAACCGAAATAAGCATACCCCAAAAGTCTGAACATTTTGAAGCCATAGAAGACGAGACTTACAGAAAAGGAAATAAACAAGATGAAAGCCAGGTTTCCAATTCGAATCACATGGCTGAAAACCGTATAAGAAGTCAACTTTTGATGTCAGATGTTGGGCATGTACATTCTGAAAATAACTACAATGAGGCTTCCTGCAGTAATACTGGACGGAGGAACCAGCCAAGTCCAGTAAGACAGTGGATGGCACGACTGGCATCCCCGGTTCTTGACATGTCCGAAGCTTCTTCAAAGTTGCCCCTGCGGACAAGGGAGAACACCTTGAAGGCAAAGCTTCTTGAAGCAAGGTCGAGGGGACAACGTTCGCGTTCAAAACCTTCCAAAAACACCTCTTGATCTTCTTAGGAGATGTTGGCTTGAACACTCTGAAAGGGTTTGCTGATCCTGCATTGCCTGCTGGTTGTGGGGATTTGCTTCTTGTGAATATTTCCGTGACACTCTTTTGATATGGATATCTTTGTTCTCACTCATTAGAGTTCTGTTTCTCTCTCTCTGGTAGGTTTAAAAGAGAAGTCTGTATATGAGTGTAATGTTAAAACGTTCCATAGCCTACACAGATCATAAAGAGTTGAAGACCAACAACAATTTTGAGTTATGCTTTCTGGCCGTATAATGTGCCATGTAATGTAGGTTGGGAAAGAAAGTTAAGAAAGTTGAGGAAAGAAAATCATAGGTTCTCTTTCTTTAGTGGTACTTTTTGTCTTCATGTTGGAAGAGGTTCTAAATTCGAATCCTGTTCTAAGTTCGAATCCTCTTCCGGTGATTAAAAAAAAGCCCTAAATTGTATATTTAATAAGTTTTTTGAACTCACATTATGGAATTACTTGAAGTTAAACTAACATGTGAAAAATTGCCAATTTTAGGAAGAGTTTGTAGTTCAAATAATTAAGAGTATATATCTTGTACTTTAGGTCTTAGGTTCGATTCTTCTCTCTCCAATATTGCTTATATAAAATAATAAAAAAATTCTTGTCATCATATCATATGATGAAACAAAAATAAAGCTTAACAAAATGATTTTAAATTATCTCAATATTTTGATCATATTTATTTAGTGCAGTATAGACAAAATAAAAGAAAGACAAGAATTACCTACTCATCAATATTTTATAGTCCCTCTCAGCTTTCCATAGAGTGAGAGAGAGATGGCAGCGGCGTCGTTTAGGTGGATACTACAGTTGCACAAGGACGTGCCAAAAGCTGCTCGGTTCTACTCGGAAGGCTTGGACTTCACCGTCGATGTATGTACTCTTCGCTGGGCTGAGCTTCAATCCGGCCCACTCAAACTTGCCCTCATGCAATCCCCCAAGTAATTCTCTCTGCCCAAGACTGGGAGTTTTATGCACGCTACCTGTTTGCTTATTTGTCTACAAGAGTTGTTTACTCACCGATTGCCATGAAATATTACATTTTGTATGTGTTTGTGTGTTAACATAAAAATGAAGTTCTGGTCTTGGACTTTGATCCTATTAACATGGTGTCACTGGGTTTTCTGTTTATTTAACAATAAAACAATTATGGTTGTGGAGTATTTGATCGAAAATGGTAGCTGCTAATCAAGTTTCGCAGTGATCATGTCATGCAGAAGGGAATGGGATACTCTTCACTTCTGTCTTTCACAGTGAAGGACATTAATCAAACAATGACAAAACTAATGGCTTTGGGAGCTGAGCTAGATGGCCCTATCAAATACGAAATCCATGGCAAGGTGATGATCGAAATTCTAACAGGAACTTTGATGTAACTTATTTTTCTATTATTGCTCTTGTGGATGCAGCATTTCATGTAACAATCTTGTGGCCAGGTTGCATCCGTGCGCTGTATTGATGGGCACATCTTAGGCCTCTACGAACCCGCCTAGGAGCTCCAGAAGAAGTCCCTTAAATGCAACTAGGTGAAATAGTAGGCTGCTTGGAGCTTTTGTTATGGCATTTTGAAATCTTTTGAACACAGAGAGAAGATGTGAGAGATTTCTCCTTTTCTTGGGTTCCCTTCAACAATCGACAGTGTTTGTTCATCCAAATCGATCACAGCTGTGCACAGAGTGTAAAGCAATGGACCTGGAAACACGGCAAACAGTGTTACCACAAACATCTTGGAGGGGACAAAAAGGAAGTTTAATCTACGTTCTAAATCACCTATCATGTAGATGGGGTACTTTGGGTCATCTGTATCTCCTAGAAGTGATAGGAAATCTTCTTTTGATCTTTTAGGTAGCACAGCCGCTTTGCTTTGCCTTGTTTTTGAGTTCTCATCTTGTACCTTCACAGAAACCAATGATTTTAATTTAGTTGAAATTGAAGCAAGTTGAATGATCGGCTTCAAACTATTTGATTTTACTTTTCTGTGCAGAATCTACTGCATTGTACCACCAATCTGTTTGGCATACAATTTTGCTTTACCTGATCAACCTGCAGATGTAGATACATATTTGCACGGAAGAATGGTGTTGCACCGACCTCATAAACTGAAACCCGGTTTCTTGACGCAGTTTCTACGTTCGAAATTTTGCGTGTCCTAGTCTCAATCAGATTGTAACTATGTCCAATGGAAACTTCTGATGATTTGATTCTCTGAAGAGGCAATTCAAGCCATTAAAACAACTGACAATGAAGCAAACACAGATGCTTAAAGAACTCAACACTACCATGCCTTACACATAATGCGTCATCAATGCTTGCTGCTTCGAGGAGGTCTCGTGAGATGAAGTTCCTCCCTATGCCTCCAGCAACAATCTCACTTTCAGAAGGGGGTACCGAATTCAGCGTAAAAGCCTGTAGGTTATGCAATGGATAACTTTTTCAGCATACAATTTGGTTTAACTTATATTGAAACAATTTGGTTTTGCTCCTGCCATTTGATTTCAAACACTGCAAAATAGAAATAAAATAAAATGAAAAATAAAAAAATAAAAAAATATACCAATCCATGACTGTTGAGCCCAAATGCACAGCTAGGGAGCTCCCCTGCATAAGTATAAGCAATGAACGATAGCCCATTGAGCAGAGTTCCCTTTATCAAATAGCTGCGAAATGGTCAACAAGACGTTGACTTATTGTCACAAGATTTGCAAAATGTAAAAGTGGAAAAAATGCAAGAGAAAGAGAATGAGCATACGTGTGGCCAACCAAAGCAACAGTTGCATCTTCATTGTGTGCCACAACTGCCATGGACTCACTAGCAACAAGAACATCAGAACAGTCATCCGGGGCATCGATTCCCGGGTTTATCACCGTCTTAGGAAGAAATGCAAGAATCTCCTTCCTGAAGTTGATTAGTATAATCTGCACATGATAATTAAACAACCACAATGTGACCAATTAATGCAATTAATGAATGGGACAATTTAATTTTTAATCATATAAGCATGTATTACCTGAAGAACTGGCACCCCACTTCCCTCTGCTGTTCCTATGAGCTCCTCCCAATATCTTGGAAACTTGTTTCTGTTATTTTCAGTGAGAGATTGGAGAAGTTGCTGTGCTTCTGGGGTTTGAGCAAAAGGGAGGAGCTGGTTTTGAAGAATGAGGTCAGTGGCCAACCTGCTCTTTATCTGGTTTGAAAACCTCTGGCCTATCAGGAAGCCCATTCTGTATGCATCTTCACAGGGCCCAACTTCAAATATCTCCAACCCTTTTGCTTCCACCATTTCAGCTGCTGCATGAGAAGTGAACTCGATAAAGGGAGGAGAGGGCCTTATCTTCTTTAATCTTCAACCCCTAACTTATATTTACATGTGCAGTCGTTTATTGGTTTTGAAGTTCCATTGTCGTATTTTCTGTTTCCATGCCGTACAGAACAGCCAGTGTTTAGAAACGACATTCATTCTTAGGTGACTTAAAAGAAAAACAGCTTGATTGTGATGACTTAAAAAAGAAAAACAGCTATATTGTGATTATGCGGGAGAAAGTTGTAAGTTAAAAGAAGAAAAAAATGATTATGCAGCCTTTCGATGCTAAATGGATGTCTTATAATTCTCGTGCATTTTAATACGTAAAAGCTTATAGCTTTAGTGATAGAGCACTTAGCCCGTATTTAAGGCGAGAGTTTGACAATGACCCACCCCTGGTAGGCCTCGAGTCTCTTATAAACCACAAAATATATAATTTTGAGTATGCTCTTTGAGAGCAAGAAAGCCATTGTAAATTAGGATGGTGGTACACCATGAAAGATTTTAAAGAGATCTGATAGATAAGTGTAAAGAACTAAAGGCAAGAGATCGAATAAGAGAAAACTAAATGAAGATTTGATTATGCTTAATATATCAAAACACAATGAGTGGATGGGTCTTGCACCCCTTGATTAAAACAAAGATCTTAAACTATATCTTCAACAAAAAAAATCCCAATCAACTCACTGTCTTACTAATCATGCTGACTAGATTTGGATTGTTCCACAGCAGCTGATTAAGCATGTGAACCCATCTGTATAAAAACAAACATGATTAAGATCTGACATTAGCTAGAACAAAAAAAGTTAATAATGCATTAATTATACAATGATTATATTGAGATCTTGAGCTGGTCGTATTGCAGACTCTTCATCATGTAACAAAGACAGAAGAAGCATCGCTATCTCATTGTTTTCCAGAAAGATTTTGCGACAAATCTTAAGAGAGATGCTGGAAAATTAATTGGGATTAAGATATCAAAATCAAGTTCACCAACGCTAAACCTTTTTCCAAATGGGTTGGAACATCCAGGACCCAGAGAATAAAGGGAAGATAGTACTTTATACTACTTGGGATTTTAATAAAGCTAATGCAAAACTCCTCGTCAATCCCAACTATATGATGAGCACAAAATATAGACCCCCTTGAGAAGTATATATCAGTGGGAAATTGACACGTGGAAAATTCCTCATAATTCCACCAAATGTTTGCATTCCAGTAATGACAAAAACAATAGCACTCATGTTTGTTAAAGATGGTGCAATAATCCATCAAAAGCACGAGAAAGAACCGTTGGATATTGTAAAAGTGAGAGAGAGAGAGAGAGAGAGAGAGAGAGAGAGAGAGAGGAGAGAGAGAGAGAGAGAGAGAGGGAGGTAAAGCTTGCATCCAAATTTGGTATTGTGTTTGTATGCTTGTAGAGGTAAAGAAAAGGAAAAAAACATCATAAAATGACGGAAGTAAAGAAAATAAAACTAAAGGCAAACTGTTAGAAACACTTGCGATTGGGACTTGGAGACTTGGAGATTATATTTTCTATTCAGAGATTCGTTTTGGGGAAGGCAAAGTATAAGAGCAACTCATTCACCTAGCTAAGGGCCAGACCACAATCTTAGAAGAAACTTAACTTACATCTTTAAAATAACAATATGGTTACCCGAAAAATAATGACAATATTATCGTTTATCGGCTCGTCCTGTGAGCAATTATTTTGGGATAAATGTTCGTTACATGATTAGTTATTGTGAGAGCAGCATTCATATGTGGTGTAAATTTACTATTGAGTGGAGGTAAGTGTTTCTACCACTTGCCTCTTCCCCACTCTTTTTTATTTGAGTCTATGGTGCGGTTACTTGATGAAATACTACCACACACTCAACACAAAAAGAAATAGAAACATTATCCAGCTCAACAAGAAACACATCAAATAGGCTGATGTACAAATTCCAGACAGAAGATCCCGACCATTGACATGGAGACAGAAAGAACACTATGCATGCTAAAAGACATAGCATATATACATTTTTCACCCTTTGCATTGAAGGTTACAAATAAATGTATACAAAGCCACCAAAAAAAAATACACGAAACATTCATTAACACAACTTTCTGGCCAACTCAAGTTGTCTGAACTCTGTACGCCAAGGATATTTTGGTAATTGAGCAAAGCCTGTAGGAGAGACATGTCCGGGAACTTGTTGCTGTGGGAAAGCAAGAACCAAGAAGCTAATGTTTTGTAAAGCGTGTGAGCGTGTGAGCGTGTGAGCTTTGTAGGTTTCTTCTTCCTCATGGTTTGCCTGCTTCAATATTTTATTCCTCTCCAACTCCAGAGATTAGCAACTTCACAAAACCCTAACTGCAAAACAAATCACAAATACAAGTGCTTCCTGTGTACCAATAAAATCCCTTAGTTAGATTTACAGGTTAGAGCTCAGAGTTTCAGCCCTACTTGAGAAACTAAAGGCAATGATTATTTTATACACACAAAAAGAAGAGGCAAGCCAAGCTACAAGAATAGATAGATACAAGCCTAAGATATTAGGCTTAAATACATATATATATATATATATAGCTCCCTTTCGAGGGTAGCCGACAAGATAAACATAAGAAAAAGTGAAGCTAATTATGAATTAAGATATGGGCTAAGCATACTTAAGTGGATAAGCAGTTGAAGCAAATCAATTAAGATATGGTAAACAAATACATAAATAGGATAATTAAGTAGAGGAATATATTGAAATATATAGTTGAGGGAGCTCCCTTCAGTCCAAGTACAGGAAGCTTAAGATCCAATTTGTCTCCCGCTTCATTCACACATTTACTGGGTGTCCTGAGCTAATTTACCCAGTATTTGGATGAATGACTCGGCAGCTAATTAAATCCTACTGCCACCCATGAGTGGACTGAAGAAAGCTCTCTTCACCAAACTAAATAGTCAAATATGAAATCAAATCTAAGGAAGATTTCCCATGTCCCATGGTAACCCTAACTCTCAACCCGTAACTACGAAACTTCAACGAGAGAGAGAGAGAGAGAGAGAGAGAGAGAGAGAGAAGATAGGCTCGCTATTACTTTGCCACCTCAACTAAACGAGTCATGGATCTTCAAATGGAGGTGATGGCTTTATATAAGCTAAAAGAAAGGCTGATGTCAGACCACACATAATATTTT